TAAATGTAGGAACGAACCTCTTCAACAAGAACCTGAAAATGTGAGAACAGCGTCATGATATTTCACATACTCATCTAATCACATGGACCGTTAGGAAATCAATCGGATGATGGTGGACGGTGGAAAAACTGAGTAGTTGAGATATTAACAGGTTTAGTGAACTTGGTTTCGACATGAAGCATCGACATTCTCACGCGGTGAAGGACCGACATAATAGGAAAACCGTAAGGTCCTTTTACTCAGATGACTGAAATTTCACCAGACCACATTTCGACTTTGGATAAGCTGTCCTTAGAGGGATCACATTGACGCAATTTAAGTACAGAGCACAACTACAACGGAAAACTGAACTTGAACAAAAGTTCCCAGAAAATATGCATCAACTGATTGATTTCTTGGTTTAATTTTTAACAGATCGGGGCTTCCGTTGTAGCGTATGTGAGGGTGGAAAACCGCTCAGTTCTGTGTAACTTATTAATTAAGAAGACAGACTGACTACCAGTGGTAACAATCCCCTGCCTATGAGAAGTCAATTTTCAAACCTTCGGGGAACTTTTCCCACAATTAGCCATTACTCACAGTTTGTCTACTCACTCGGCAGCTCGAGGGAACTTAGTTCGCAAATTAGCTCTGTAAAGATAGGATGAATTCATGAAACAAAATGTACCAGTATCTTTCGGATTGGTCCCGAAAATTACCAGCAGAACAATTTTCGAAAATAGACTTCAGTAACCCGAACGGTTATCACGGTATTCAGTTTGGTCATACATGAGCGTTGCCATCTTCGACCCTACCCCTACACACAACACAGGTGAACGTGCCAACGAATTCAACTCATTATAAACGGATGACAATGAACACTGCTCCGACTCAAGAAGCTCAAGATTGTCGCCTCACTTTGTATCAATCCGGTAAGGGCACTCTCGTTAAACTGTGCTGCATCCAAGATCCCAGCCACGGGCTGATACAACAGAGGCAAGATTTCATACTACAACGATTGCCAGTGGCAAGAGACCACTTTAAGTGCGGTTTACCCTTAACTTTGGTGCTTAATTCATTGACAAATTTCTTTGAATCGGCAACCAATCTAATTAAATGTGCTGTTCAACTGATAGAGGAAATGGTCCTCTTACATGGAAATCCAATTTTTCTGATCAAAATTTGTCAGGATAAACCCTATCAGACGCCTCATGTGGAGACTCTCGTCTAACAGGTTCGGTAATTGATTCGACACACTTGCGTCGAATATTTATCGAGACCATTTTATTAAGCTAAAAATTAATAACATGGTATGTAAATGTGAACTTACCAGAATGTCAACACGGTCGTGTTGCGCGATGAACTGTCGAGCGAATTCGCTGACACTTTTTGGTTTAGCCATGTCCAGTTGGTGCAGATGAACATTCTACAGAGACGAAAGAGGAGATTTGTGACATTAGGAACTACTTAGAACACAAGATGTGGATTTGATTTGGAAAGATCAAAGCTGATTTTACCTATGAAGCTTCAGTTCTGAACAGTTTAGTNAGAACTTTAATTCTGATCACGTGAACCAAATCATTGATCTAGAACGGTTGTACCGAATCAAGTATACAAAACTAAATTCGGTCTAACTTGCTTAAGCACAAGTTTCTTCCACGTTCATCACTACCGTCAACAGACAAAGCCTCCTATCTCATGGTGACAAAACTGGACTGTCCGTACTGCAGTGTGGTATAACCGATCCCTAAAATGAAGAAAATTATCGCCTCGGAATTATAAGCGTTCTTCGCAAAATCAGTGTTGTAATCATTCCGCGCGAAACTATCCAGTAAACAGCAACAGTTTACTTCAGTTTATACCATGCAAATTCCTTTGCCTGCATATTTGGACGGAATCGAGAAGATTTATCATTCTGGAAGCAATATCAGGCGGAGAATAGAAGATCCAGGAAGATTAAAGTCAAGGAGAAATTGAGTAGATACCAGTCGACGAAACTCAGTCAAACAACTTGGTGTCTCTAACCAACGATTAGACTGACCCCGATGCCCCCAATCGGGATGCCCAAAGCAACCTATATGACCGAGTCCCTTGGTCAGTTTCCATACACACGTGCCAGGTCTTGATTTCGCTGTCATAAAATTTATTCTATACACAACCTCCCTAAGCAAACAGTCATCCAAGAAGTCTATCCGGCGTTATTCATAATATATTAGGTTTAGCACTTGTTCTAGTAGGCGATGAGTGACTACAACTATGCTTCTAAGCTCAGCATTTCTTGTCCGGCTTCCCCAACAGTCTCGTGCCATTCGGCGACGACAGTGGTGTTCGAATGCCGACAGTTCATTTTTATCCTCATCCTGCAATGACCAAGTCTCAGCACAATATAGCAGTTCCCGTAGAACCGTTGAAGCATACGCTCGACCAGTCACAGACAGAAGGACCTCGAGACGGCGTGGTGGATTTCTCAAATTGGTTAAACTAGACAAGCAGTCTGTATGACAGCCAATAATTCATCTGTGATGCATCCGTCAAGTGAGATGAAGTTGTCCAAATAGCAAACCTTGTCCATTTTTCCATTACATCCCCAGTTCTATTGGGGTCGTGAGCTGGACCAACGCCGTCTGATAACAACAGTTTGCACGTTTAATCTGCGAAGCGAATGTCGAACATAGATGCACTAACACCTGGAACATTCAGAAAATCTTGCAAGCGAATCCAGGATCAGATCCATTACAAAGGACAGGTGAGAGGAGCATCTGTGAAGAGCAGTGCTTTCCGGGGTGAACTCAATAGAGAAAGGGATGCAAGCTTGGAATCGGTTTTGGCTATTAGAAGTAGTGAAATGAACTTCTCCGGTACATCTTTCAAGGAGCAGCAGTACCGGGGTCTCATGCGGTCAACCGAATAGAAGACCGCTTTTAGATCAACGTAAAAGGAAAGTGACAGCCTTCAAAAGGAATGCTTCTGTTCCATTAGTTCGTGAACAGTGAAAATATAGCCCATACACACTTACTGTCTAAAATGAGAATAATTGTCACAAGTGTACCGCTTAACAACGGTAGAAAATCGATGAAGTGTAATGCTAGCAAGATGTTTTAGAGGTTATTGATAAAACAAATTTCTCTGTAGTTTCTACAAATCAGAGGGCTGGCTGTCTCGTATCATTAAGTTGGAATCTGTCTAATTCCTCCATCCTTAAAAGTAGATGGGGACAGACATTTGAGTTACGGGCCTCCTAAGGTAACTTATTCTAAGAAGAACCTTCAGTTCAGAAAAAAGGTTGATGTCAAGTGATATTATTTGCCCGGTTGAAGTAGGAATTGGGGGGGTCTATCGTCGGTTTTGGTAGTTGAACTGTGCCTTAAAATGTTCTGCCCAGCGCTCAAGATTCGATTCAAGAATATGGATCGGCGTGCTTTCGAACTTTTCATCCATATAACTTATCCTAATTTCCGTCAATTCGTATTACCAAGTAAATAGAAAAGATTGCGACTGACATTAATAGCCACAGCTTTCTCCGTCTTTCAACACTGTTACCGATCACTTCACGAGGTCATTTCACAGAGTTAATGAGCTGGCCTTTAAGGGATTTCCGAGTAGTCACAATTAAAAACTTGAAACATTGGGTCCGGTTTATCTAATTCGTTAGAACAGAGAGAAGACAAATACTGCGAGATATTAACATTTCTTTCGATCTCCTCAGTCGCTACAACGTAAAAAAATTTGGTATTTATACAAACAAGTTTTGATAACTACAATGGTTCAACGGACAACAGTCAGGGTAGAGGGCGAGAGAATCGATTTCACGGCCGGCTAAATGATTGTGTCAGAAACTTGTGCACACAAAATTGGGTTACGTCAGACTGCTGTGGAACTGGTTCTCCCCCCCCCTCTACCTTGATTGTTGTCCGTTGAGCCATTGTAGTTATCAAAACTTGTTTGTATAAATACCAGCATTTTTTACGTTGTAGTGACTGAGGAGATTGAAAGAAATGTTAACATCTGGCAGTATTTACGTTCTCTTTGTTCTAATGACTTAGTCATTCAGTATCCAGAGGAGTGACTTTGTGAGCGCCCAGCATCAGGTCGAGAAAACCTATTGTTGCCGGAATTCACCGCCACTTGCATGGCCCTACATCAAATACAGCTTACGCTATCACCAGAATGCCTCGTAGGTAGCACTGGACTACCTGAGGGCTACGGGCGCATCCCCGGAGAAATAGAACCAAGTCACCCAATAGTAAGCGGTATTGAGCTGGGCACTATGCACATCAGTGGTAAGTTTCGAAAACGGGATTTTAAAGAGCGATGCATACGCCGCTCCACCCTTGAATAATTGCACTTCGGTCAATGGAATGTGTTTTGCATGTTAGCAAATCCGTTAGCCAAATAAGAAAAATGCATTGTGAAACACAAACGCAAATTAATAACAAACCTGCACTTACGGTGTTAGCATTGTTCGCAAAACGGATCACTTCATCGCGTGCAGCCTCGCCTCGTTGCGCATTGCGACAGATCATGTGAACCTGTGCACCCCTTTTGACTAGTTCCTTACAACAAGCTAACCCGATGCCGGAATTGGCTCCGGTGACAAGGATTCGCCGATTATCCAAACGTACACCATCTAATTCTTTCGGATCAAAATTAGCGGCAGCTGCCTCATAACCCGATCTGAGTTGAAAAGAAGTCGAAAGAAGAAGGACAGTAAGCAAGCGAGATAGCACAGCGTATAAACTGTTTATCTCAACTCAGAGTAATTCATTGTGAACGGTCGGGAAAACCCAATAGCATAAGCCCTGAGACTGGACTGACAAACAAAAGAAAGTGGTATTGCAATACATATTAGACTGTTGTTTGGAATGTGGAAGAAGGGATATTCTGAGTCCGTTTTGTGATGACGGCTAACCTTCCCGGTACCGCCACGAACCGAACCTTGCTCGTGAATGCTAATCCTCTGTCGGAAAGGGAAGTTGTTCGGGCAAGAATCATCATAAATAACTTTAGACTGCCGCAACGGACAGTTTGCTTCTGAAATTTCAACGAAGCAGTTGACAAAGCTTCAATGTTTTGCTCGAGAAATCAAACAGGAATATGAGGATCGGTATAAATAGGCCACGTAATTCACCATTCTTATATTATTAAAGCCAGAACCTATTCTTCCACAACCAATGTTATACCTCAGTTACCCTAAGGAGTTTTTAGCGGCGGAAAGTAGAACCAGAACAATGATAAAAAAGATTGAAAGCATTTTCATGAAAATTAATTCCGGTCCCCTACCAACGAAAGAGGATGATGAAAAAAGGATCAAGTGTCCTTGAAGATCAGTGCAATGGACATAGTTGCAAAAGCCATTCGATCAGTGTATATAGGTGCGAAAAATTGGATGTCTTTCATCCAATTCGCGAGAGTAGAAAGAATATAAGTTCTGTTTGGTGTCAAATTCTTAGTCATAACATTAGAGTGCGATGGCGGAGACAAAGAGTACTGGATAAGTGTTTTATTCATGTTTAGAGCAGCAAGCTTGGATTAGCCCATTCGATTGTTAAGAGGTACCAGGCACTCTTGATATTCTTGGGTGTGGGTTTCACTCCTTGAAAGATCGTAAATTAACCGCAATTTCATGCATTTACATGCGATGGAAATGTTTGTGATAACCGGCAAAGAGCACTGGACAGCCGTTTCGTCCTGTTTGGGACTCGTCAGAAGTGCGTACTTTTTGTGTCCCTGTCAGGACTCGAACCGCGAAGGTTCGAGTTGGGACTTCAAACCCTTACCCCTGAGCTACACGGTCGACGGTCATCACCTTCTTGTTCGGACCCGTCAATAGCCCTTCTTGCTGTAAAAGGTCGACGGCCGACAACTCGAGCGCATTGCCATAACAATTTCAAATATTTAGCATGAGCAAATTCATATTTCCACAGATACCAGGTACTATGGGTGATACTGCCTGGGATTTCACTCATAAACCGTAGGTGAAATGTATCAAAATGTGATGGACCTCTGTAATGACTGACAAAGTGCACAGGACAGTTTTTTTATTTTTTTGGGGGACCCATCGATAGTGCGTACTTTTGGGCCCCAACCGGGAGTGCAATTGCGGAACTTCGGGTCGAGAATCGTTTGTGGGAGTTAAGTGAACTCCCAAAGAGTGGAACCAACGATCAAGCTATNGTGGGAATACATATAAACTTCTTCAAACCTAGCATTCTAAGTGGTAACATTTCAGTTAATTGCCTATAAGGTAAAACAATGTGGTAAATGTTCAAGTCGATTGATGGACAGCCATTGGAATACGATAGTTTAACATTCAGTCCTATTGAAATTCGAGCGACTGCGTTAGAAATTTTGGAGCACGAAGAAGAGGATGACACCTTGATTAAAACTGAATGCTAGAAGTATTCGGACCATGAAAAAACGATATAAACAAAATAAAACTGGGTCGACGATGGGCCCAATTGGCATTAGGTGTTCAGCAATGGATGACCCTGGATTTCATTTTACATGTGGACCTTTGGTGCAGTGCTGTTTAGCAACTGCACTTGGGGATGTGTTCAGAGATCCGTTGTAACAAACACCAGATTGTTTTACATCGTAGCGACTAAGTAAATTAGATGAAAGGTTAACAGTTCTCAGTAGTTGTTTTCCCTCGTTTTCTAGTTGAGGGGATCCACTATGAGGATAGAACAATTTCGGACAACTGACAGTGTAATGGATCAATGGATCCCGTTCACATCAAAGTGGTCCCCTGACGGGGTATCCTGACTGAAAACTTTCATTCACCTACGAGCCCGGAGAATTCGGTCTCGTAAAAGTAAAGATCTGATCACACCTGATTGCTTCGAAGACAACGGCCAGGCCTGATATCCCGAGTTGTGATAGGTAGAAGGAATGAAAGTGATGGACGCAAACACATACTGTTGGGCAATAAAATTCGTTAGCTTAAGCTTCGGTATTTACTACGTAGAACCATCGGCATCGTAATGAACTAGAAGGCCGAGAAGCTGTCTACGACCATATGTGAAATTCGACGTTCGAGCCTCGGACACTGTGGATAGTTGCAGGAAAAAAAGCAATTGGAACTGCTGAACCAGGTGGTCACATAGAAAGGTGGATAACTAATTCACATCGGAGGGTATCAGCAAGGTTTCACACAGGTTTGGTTACTACCGTAATAAAGTGAATACTGGTTTAGTGAGGTTACAATATTAGCCGATCGAGGTTAATGAACTGCCTTGTGTAGATCAAACCGTGCTTCTTTGGTTGGAAGCCTATCTCACCTGCAGTTACAAATACTATTCGTATTTGCAGTTTAAATGACCCTTGTTCGCGTTCTCAGCTCCACAGACTTGTAAAGTAACTGAATGGAAAGAAAGAATGGGACTAACAGTGACGTATCATTTATTTCATCCGACTTTCAACGCATGAATTATTAGCGGAACTTGGATTTTTCGAATATATTGAAGAACTGTTGGGAGCATAATGGTCGTTTGAATACATTTTAATGAAGTATTCTGCATTTATTGACGAATCCGGAAGAGTACGAAAACTTAGTTTTAGTTTTCAGTTTTTGCAACCATTAATCATACATGTTCATGCGCCGGTTTCGGTTGCTGTCTTTTGGCTGCCTATTTGGATAAAACAGCAGTGGGACGAATGAAATGTTGCGAGTAGCGTCAAAGAAGACAGAGAATTAACATGGATTAAGGTAGTAAAGAAACTTTATACCACCAAAACTAGAGGAACCATGAGAGGTCACGGTGAAGCATATATATATATATGATCGTACAACTCATGTACACAATGCACTCCAGGCACGACGGAAATAGCTCATATAGGGCTGCTGGATCGGTTTTAAATACTTTGACAAATAGCCAAAAGCACCTACGTATTTGTTTCAATCCCGTTGAAAAAACTGCACACACAAATGAACAATTTCAATGTGAAACCACATCATGACTCACTTCGTGTACTCTCGCATACCCCGAGTGAACCAAACAAGGTTCCGATACAGAGACATTGAACGGACTGCAAAAGAAACCAATCAGGCTGTTTGGTCAACCAAAAAAACCGCAACGGTCGAAATCATTGGAATATCAGATCACAAAAAAGTATGATTAGTCTCTAAAAAAGCTAGTTCATTATAGTAGTGGATGACACTGTTTGGAATTATTTATTATATGTACGGAGTTATTTTTATTTTGTGTGTGCATTGGAGTTTGATGAACGGGTACTGCTAGGGTGTCCAGCCACTAAGTAGAAGAATGATTTGGGTACTTAACCAAAGCCTTTAGTTCTAACAAGAACCTAACCGCAAGGTAGCGGGTAAAGCGAAGTGAAGGCCCATTAACTTGGATCGATTACTCCTCCACCATTTTTTACCGACTGTAACGCAAATTCTAGTCGAACCCTCAACCTAGAGGACCAGGAGACTGGACTTCGTCTGACCTCTACCTATTGACCTTCCAGATATGATAAGATCCCCTAGCTTGAAAAAAGCCATCCTGTGTAGCTCGTTGCGTCAGAGAGGCGCACAAGCCATCACACCACGTCAAGATGCAGTCTCGTCATGATGGTCTGTGTATGTGTTCGCGATTGTGTTTATAACTCCTGTAAGCATAAAGCCTACATTTTATTCAAAAGTGTACATGGTAGATAAAAAAGTTAAGTCCTGTAACTTTTAACAGAGTCTATGAAAACTCGTCCTTTGTTACTCATAATAAATTCTAAACAGGGTACCGTGGAGTTACGATGCATGTTCATACGTGAAGGAACAGAAAACTGTTACCATTGAGGCAACGCATGGGAACGCCAGGAAATTAAACCTGAGATCCGTGAAATCCTGTGAGTAAATTCTCCGCATGCACTCACACAATACTTATCAACTCCTCTAGCGGAATCGGAGACACACAGCTAACGATTGACAGTCCACGTCGAAGCAGCTTGAAGTCCTTCTTTAAGAGATCAGAAAAAGCAACAGGCAACCGTGGTCAGTTGAATGCCCCAAGTTCACGATACAAACTGCTGGCTCTCTTTTAATGAAAACGTAAATGACACAGAAAAACTTATGTGGGCAGACCTAAAAAATTACTCACTCTCTACTGGAGATATATTTTCAAAACTACACGAAAATGGTGGAGACTAAAGCCTAAACAATGTGAATTAACTCATCTAGCATTCCAGTTATTTCCCTATAAATAATCTGCCGCGAGGTTGAAACAAAATTGGAAGAACTGAACTTCCTATTCGGATGGTTTACCATTGATCAATCCAGAAAACATTAGTTTTCTGACAAGAAGCCACCATGAAATTCTCTGCTCAGACATAACCAGACACTGACCGTGTTACCGATTGTCATACAGCACGTATATAAGTGATCAACCAAATGCAAGTTAACTTTGGGATCTAACTGTTTTCAACCAATCTCCTGTGAAGATTCGCTCAGGTTGAACATATATCAAAATACTTCAACAAGTACATCCTGGTCTCACACCCAATACTCAATCACAAACAATGCGCCTGAGGAGTTGACGGCGACAGTACGAAACGATGAGCGAAACAAACCTTCCCCGTGTTACACCTTGAGCCAAAAACAGGAAAAGCTAACATCTACTAATACGTCTCATCTAGGCAGTAAAGCAAAACGGGACTTTGGGGGAGAGAAAAACATGAGACCGTTGAATTCGATTTATTCACAGATGACGGTGACGCTCACCGAATGTATAAAAAAAGATTGGGCGAAATAAGTAGACTGGAGCTGACCCACAGAGGAGCAGGGGTGGGTTGGGGGGGGCAAAGAAAGAATAACGGAGGGCGCAGAAAAATAGACAAAGGTCATCGGATCAAGTACGTGCAGCTCAGTAGAGCAGAGTCAAACACTGAGTCATGCACGCATCCAAACACGCACATATAAGTACAGACGCGGAAACAAGCACATACAATGAAACACAACGATGCAGTAGAACAGGCTTAGTGTGCGATATCACACGACCGCCGATCGGAGTTTTGGAACAGGTCAAATCACTATCAATTCTTCTTAGTGCTTTAGTGATAGAGTTGGCTGTCCATTTATAATCTGTTTTATTGGCCGCAACTGTCGTAAAACATTGGCCAAGGCAGTCTTAGCGTCTTCGTTCTTGCCCACCAGTTTGCGAACACGGATTTTTCGCAGTAGTTCAGTGACTGTGATTGGTTTACGCATCAGATACTTGCGCACCGTGCTCATCAGCTCACTGTCACATGGGACATTTCCCGCACCAGATGCCGGATCCAGTCGACTCTTTTTCAAAGCTGGTGGAGCTGTGGATGCGGAACCACCCGTTGAATTGACACCAATGTCCAAAGGAGGTCTCCGCTTCAGAGTACCATCCACACTTTCGTTTGCGGCCCCAGAAGCACTGGATGTGGCAGAGGTTGTGCCATGAATCGATTCGGACAGCTTCTGAAACACTGCAGCCTTCTTCGAGTTTCGCTTGGCCTTCTCATTCGCATCCGCTTCCATATCTGAACTGGATGAGGAATAGGATGAAGATTCACCATCGATCGAGGAGGAGCTGGAGGAAGAGGAGGATACGCTGGCAGCACCATCATCATCCGTTTTCTTCTTTCTCACACGATGCAATTTTCCGGATCCATCAGGCAGATCATTCTGCGATGTACCAGGCAGGCTAACACCTCCATCTCCTCTATCGTCATCGACCGGACGGCGCTTTCGGGTACTTGTTTCACCACCATCCATTGTAGACTCATCCCCCACGTCATCGGCATCCTCTGCAGTGCGACTCTTTCCATCATCTTCTTCATCCTCTTCATCACCACCTGGAGATTGGAGATAATGTACTTTTTAAGCAAACCAGAAAACAGTGCACAGAAAAAAGACGTAAATATCACGTAACCGTAGAGTTGAACTTTATGCTCCTATGTGACAACTCAGCTCAGAATTGATGCAGTAGTAATACGTGCAGTTTTGAAGAAATAGCTCTACGAAGCATAAATTTATGATTGCATTAGGTGATCGTTTTGATAAATTTCGGAAAACAGTTCAATTTACTTCAGGTCATGCCAGCACCAACCACTTTCGTGCGGTGGTTTTGGCCGCCACCCATTCGGATAAAACAGCAGAGGGAAGACTGGAGTGTTGAAACCAGCGCCGAGGTGAAAATAGAGAATTCAGGTAAGCAAAGGCTGCGGAGAAAGTGGGTAGATGCACAAACGCTACTGCTTACGAAGCTAAGCTATGCCACTCAGTGCCGTCAAAAATCGATTACACTGACCCTGATATACCCCTCCGCGGAGTCTAACGTAAACTAAATGACCGAGTCTTCTGCTCAGTTTCCGTTAGATAAGAATTCCACGATCCCATTATTCAATCAATCAATGACGATAGCAGAATATATTTCACACATAAAGTAATACACAGTAAGAAGTAAATGCCATCAGTTTATTTTGACAAACATTAACCATCAGCATCATCAGTAGCAATAGCCACCCAATTCCGTGCGCCGGTTTTGGTTGCTGTCTTCTGCATACCCATTTGGATAAAAGAGTAGATGGAAGATTGGAACGTTAAGAGCAAAGTCAAAGAGAAAACAGCGAATTTATATAGACTGGGGCTGCGAGAATGATGAGTAGGTGCACGAGCACCTCTCATCAATATCACTGTATCCTTAACTACCGCTTAACATTACCCCGGAGTCCTCATCTAGAAAGTGTAACGCGACCTATATAACCCAGTCTCCTGGTCAATGTCTTCATACCTTTATACCAGGTCTTACTTTTACTACCGTTGGCTTTTTTCATCCACTAACTGCCCCTGTCGAAGATCGTGCACCGTGGCAATCCGCTTGATGACATGCGCAACATATGTCCCAAGGAGCTGAGTCTGT